GGTACAATTGTGGAATTTTCAGCGTGGATATCGGTAGCCCAAAATTCGCAGGCCGACCATAGATATCAGGTGTGCGTCGGCGGGGGCTCGAACCCCGGACCACGTGCATGGTCGGCAAGAGTCCTAACCACTGTGCCACCGACGCACTGTTGAAGATTGATGAAATGATACACACTCGATCATCTCTACAGGAATGAGTAGGTAATTAATTTCACAATTATTATTATCCTAATTCGTTTAGATTCCCTATGGGACATACGGCTAACAGCAGCACACCTGCATTTCGTTTTATTTTCTCCAGTCGTCATAAGCTGGCTCCATGATTGCCTATATGATATCATCTTCTTTTAAATAGACCTCCACCATATCACACTCGGACGCCTAAATCTTAGTTTCCTATTCTCCTCAGCAAATGTCCAATGCATCTGCATCCCCTTCGGCATATTTATCGCACAATAAGTTCTTGGTTGGTTTGTTACGAGAGTTTCTTTCTTTTCTTTTTAATTCTTTTTGGTTATCTGATCTTTAGTATGGAGGGAAGGTAGTTGTTGATATAAGTGTGCAGCAAACTGTTGCGAATGCTTTTTGTGATGCACCGTATAGATGAACTAAAATTAACATTAATGTTGAAAATTCAAATCTTGTACTGCATGCTTAGTGCAGTGGACTTCCTCACCAACTTCAAGATTAATGAAGGTGAGTGGTTTTGCCCTTTCGATCCTGCCGTTAACATCTTCACCATTGACGCGTGTATAGTTGCAATGATGCTGTCTAGATAAGTGAAAGTGGTGACTTCCTTCAAAATTTCTCTCGTTAATAGTGATTAGTGCTTGTTATTCGATACAGTTGTGTTTAATCAAATCACTCAGTTTTATTGCCAAATAATACTGCACGATAGATACTCTCCAAGTCTTATTCTGAGTAATAGGCACAGAATTCTACATTTTAAAAAGACAGTATATGTTGCAATAAGATTACAGGGTTCAATATTTAAAACATGCTTTACATTTTGATTGGACACTAGTAACTAGTGTGATGAGTCTAGTCCCTTCTTTGATGCGGACTGAATTCTGTCAGTCAGGTTTGTAATGTGGCCTTGCTGACAAGTGCCAACTAGCACGAAACATAGGTCCAAGGCTCCTGCCTACTGACTCCAACTATCTAATATCATCAAATCAATGTGTACCATGATGGCGAGCTACCTAGAATGCTAGCCACATTACAAACCCGGACCAAAGAAAGGACTAGACACATCACATTAGTTACTAGTGTCCAGTCAAAATACCCACTACAGTCCTACAGGAAGTCAATCACCAGCATGAATAGTTCAGTGGTAACGTCTCTGACTGCAGGCGGCACTGGGTGGCGCAGATTTGAACCTCAGAAGGAACATGAGTTTCTTCAAGGTTGCAGATACGCCTTGCTGACGGATACCAACTAGCATGAAACCTAGGTCCAAGGCTTCCTGTGGCCGATTGCTTCCGACCATCTAATGCTTTACATCTGTTGTTTGACTAACATAAGATGTGAAACAAGAAATAAATGCAAACGTCCAACTACACATTGTATGTTGTTTGAACTCAGCTACTCAAACCATATTTTCATGTATCAGGTGTCGAAGCAGTTATAACTGAACTGAATAAACCCCGTCGCTACTTTGTTATGTCTGCGCCTGTTAATTACTATAACGGTAATGAACACTAATACATCTATTTGTCTCTTGTGCCATCCGAGTCACACAGCCACGCAAATATCAAAAGACAAAGGCTAGCCTGTGACTGTGGGATAGTGTAGCGTATATCCATTACGAAACAAAACATCATATTTATATATTTAATTTATTACAACAGAGTTGGCTTACAACCGTGGGAATGCACTGTTCTTATTGGCTGGATATATCTAATCTGATTGATTGGTGATGAGACAAAGACCGAGGTGAGACAAAACACGATGAATTGATCACACACTAAATCACAATATGCGTTGAAATGATACATTAACAATTTAACTCCATCACAAGACAACTCACACGATTCGTGAGAAAGGATGACATACTATTTTGTGCTGAGTCCCATTAAAAGCACACTTGTTATATGACGGCCAGTGGTATCACTCAGTCGTTTAGACTGAAGTAGACGTAACGCGATTCAAACACTATATGTGAATGCATACCAAACTACAAGATGAAGTACAGCTGTTTTTTAACTTGCGGGACTCGGCAGTTAGGCTGCGAAGACACATACGAAATTATAGGAGAAAGGCAAGATACCAGTATAGTGACAGGGTAACTTTCATACACAGTAAATTAGCTCCAAGATTTGTCCTATTCTATGCACGTTAGGGATAACTACTTATGATTTTTGTAGGCTTGACACACCTACACACACATACGATGGTGTGCCTTATTGTTACACTATCTTAACAGGTTGGCATTAATCTAATAATAGAGACAGTGATTGAACTTGAGACATAGTATCAAGGCCACGGCAAAATTTAAAACCTGTGAACTAAATAAAACATCTCCAGTTTAACCACAACCCCTATCCGTCTAGTCCACTTGTGTCAACTGTATAAGGATAGAAATAATTCACTGTTTTGAAAGGATTGACTTACACACTAAACAAAATGAGTAGCTGCTTTATACTATTAACAACAACAACAACCAAACTTTACCCTACTTGTTACTCAGACCGCATGAAATTTGAGTCGTGACTAAGTGTTAATGTTAATCCCTTATTCAAGTGATACAATTTGCTATAGATTTGAAAAAAAATACTTATCATAGAGAAATGAAATATAATTCCATAGCCTGTACTTCGTTTTCGCTCTTAGTGTACATACATATAAGTTTGTTAGTTCTCAAAAAGGAGTGGTGAGAGACATTTGCCATATTGAATCATTTTCACACCAGACACACATATTTTCTCTTGTCAATAGATCAATGAGCAGCCAATCGCACCACTTCTTTTACTTAATGTTACTATTACTACTACTACTACTCACTTATTTCATACAATGTTCATGTATTTTCATAAATATTCAACTAATAATGACTACAACAATCCAATAGTCACGTACAATTCTATATTATGGGTGACTGTGAACAGTTATTGTCTTTTTAGAGTGACGGTGTATGAGTGCACTGTTTTATTGTCCAACCAATTATCTAAATAATATTGTTTTCATTTACTGTACAGTATATATGAAAAAAGTTCACTATCATTAAAATTATACAAAAATGAAAAATATCTTCACGCATAACAATTGAATTGAAAACACCTCTTTTTTTTATTACAGCTTGATTCCACACAGTACTTTTTGGTAGAAGTATGGAACTTCCAGCATGTGATATCGGTAGCCCAAATTTTGCAGGCCGACCATAGATATCAGGTGTTCGTCGACAGGGGATCGAACTCCGGACCATGTGCATGGTCGGTGAGAGTCCTAACCGCTGTGCCACCGACGCACACCTCGACCTTTTTAGTCATCTTATTCCTTTACTGACAAACTTGAAGGGAATATACATTATAAGACAAGTGGTAGTTGAGCGCCAACCATTCCGAAGCTGAATGCAATATTAGGCTATAATGCTGTTAACAAGTGAACAGTGTCACCATTTAATGGGGTAAGGGAAGCAATAAATCAGTTCACTCATGTAGTTGATGAGTTACACTCTGCATCTATCTGACCATGTTCAATCCTTTTGAGGTAGACCTACAGAATAAACTCTTGTCAAACTTCGACCTCCATCTTGTCTACACGAGAAGGGTGTATCTACATGTCGACTAATTGTCAGGTTTTTTCTTCAACTTACCTCTCAGTGAAGACAAAACATATATATATATATATATATATATATATATATATATATATAACTTTCGCGATTTCCGCCTCATGACCCGTATAGAGGAGATGTCTGGTAATAGCGCTATTACAAGAGTTTGTTCCCTTGAGACGTAGGCTTTTCGCAGCATGTTCGAAAAATCAGAGGTGTTCCCTTCTTTCTGAGCTCCTAATGTATCTTCTCCCGCAGATACACGTAAATTTGTACACACAGTTGCAGTTAACATGTGTAGGGTATCTGTCAACTTTTGACTGCACCAAAGAGCATGTTGTTCGATGGATGGGAACCAAATTAGCTGCAGGATAGGCTCTTGACTTGGTAACCGGATATCTTTATTCTTCCTTTTATTTGATTACGTAATCTTTGGCCTTAACGTCACGTCCTTTGACACAGTGTAATTCTGCTTGTCTCTTGTTTCTATGCTTTGAATTGAACTCATTACATTGTTACCAACTTTATTAGTCACTCAGAATCTTACTCATCTCTCATCGTTATTGCGTAACTCCTTTACCATTGTATGCATACATTCATTCCTGTTTAAACTTGAACTGCCTGTGTATAAACTATATAAGCGCAATTTTCTCAGCACTGTTCACTAATTGTGGAACCTTTTGTCATCTGACATCATTGAACATTTGCAAGTATGTTAAAACCGTTTCTGTAAATGAGCCTCATGATTTACTTTGACTGTAAGCATCTGATGAAAAGCCGACGAAAGAAATAAAGAGGGAAGATTGGGCGTATGAGGCTAGCAACCTTATCCTGTGAAAGAATATAACACCGCGCTCCTGCTGAAACTTCAAAGCTCTAGCTTGAAGGCATATATTTTATTATTTTTATCTTTGATTACAGCTTGATTCCACACTGTATTTTTGGTATTAGTATGGAATTTTCAGCATGGATATCGGCAGCCAAAATTTTGCAGATCAACCATAGATATCAAGCGTGCGTCAGCAGGGGATCGATCCTCGGACCATGTGCATGGTCGGCGAGAGTCCTAACCACTATGCCACCGACGCAAACAAGAGTACATGTAATTTACATAGTATATGTATTTAAATAATGTTATTTCTACCTAAACCATTTCAGGTTCTTTTGAAGGCAGCCATTAAAATACCAAGAAAATAATCAATAAGTCAAAAAACAAAAAAACAAAATGAACACGCTACCAGCAAATAGAACATTGAACACATTCAATAATGATAATGCAAGACGTTCAAGTATATCTGCAATGCGTTATGCTGCAAGATCAACATCATTATACTTTCCAAATACAGATACAGATGAAGAAAGTCGTAGCCAGTTGTTGACAAGTGAAAGTATTGTAGAGACACGTAGAGCTGAAACAATGAATCGATTAAATCGTATTGGTATAACAACAGGTGAAGGATCAAGAAATCTAACTAATCCATTATTTGATAGTATGGGTAGTTTAGATCAACCATGGTCACGTGGTTATGGTCAAACATTGGTGTTATCACCGCCTAAAATTAGTCTACCAGTCCAACAACAACACCACCACCAACAACAACATCAAGGACAGACCCAACAATCCACCAACAGCATCAACAAAGCCAACAGATGAATGATCACGAAACTGCTAGTACTATTCAAGATATACAACACACGATAAGATTACCAGTTCATCGGAGTCCTAATATACTACATGGTGGTTATTGTGCTCTTCCATCTACACATTATGCATCTTCAGTGAGGGATGCTTACGGTGGAAATGGGAGTACTAGCGGCGCTGGTGGTGGAGTTGGCGGCGGTGCTGGTAGAAAAAGTAGGAGAAAATTAAAAAAGAAAATGTGTTCACCTTGTCTTGGTGGAGGAAGTGAACAAGTTGAGTCTACTGCAAAGTAAGTTGATGAATAAATTCCTTTTTTGTTTGTAATTTATTATTATTTCCTTTAATTCCTGGAGGAAAATAGGGCTTCAGCCGCGTGTCTCTGCTAAAGTTTTCACCTGGCTCCAAGTCTGCCCACATGCTTTCATCTCCTCTTCACATCACCTCCTCCAAGTCACCCTTGCACTGACGACCAACTCGCCACTTCCCTTTCGGGTTTCACTAGAGCAATGGCTTGTCTAGTAATGTCACTTGATGGTTTCCTCAGCGTATGGTCAATCCACCTGCGTTTCTTCCTGCATATTTGTTTCACATTCGGTTCCTGGTTGGTTTGCTCCCAGAGAACCCGCTGCTGGTCTTTTCTGGCCATCTAATCTTAAGTGCTGAGCGACGACAACTGTTAATGAAGGTCTTTAGTCTGTTTCAGGTGGTGTTCATGACGCGCCAAGTCTCTGATTCGTACGCATAGTAAGTAGCACTGACTGAGTTCACATTAGAGTTGAAAATCCGGATCTTATTTCTGATTCTGAGTGCTGTTGACCTCCACACAGACTTGATGAGAGTAATGAAAGCTTGTCTTGCTTTTCCGATTGTTGCTTTGACACCCTCGTCAGTTCCTCCTGTAGTTGTAGTTTTTTTTTTAACTTCAGTTTTAATTTAAACAGGGAGAAAGTTTCTTTTTAAAAAATGTTTGGAAAACTGGCGGGTTTTTTCAACTATAAGTGGCAGGCTTAATAGACTTACTTAGGAACCGAGGGGCAGTTCTGTTGTTTCGTTCTCAGATCATTAAATATCAAGTTATAATCTGAAAAGGTGATGAACAAGTCAACTAGATTCATGAAATTCCTCCGTTTAACTTTTGGTGAGGCACTGCCAAACAGTCGCAAACAAGGATGAATTAGCTATCCAGTAAGGCATAGTTTTCAAGACAAAATCTACGTTGAAAATGAGAATATTGTTGTGAAGATGTATATGTATCTAATGTAGACTGATGTAAGCATTAGAAAATTTTCTGTTCAGTAGCCAGTGGAAATACACAGATCTGTGAAGAATATTCACTTTATAACTTACATTCCAAAGCTGTACACTTACTTAGTGATTACAAGCATGATCACAAGTTGATATAAGTTTGAGAACTATTGGAAAACCTCCGAAGAGTACTGGAAAGCCTTTTCGTCCCAGTTTTCAGCTCTTCATCAGTACGCATCCATCCGGGTTCGAACGCAAGACATTCTACGAACCTGCCTTATAACCGGAAGACCATGAGTTCGAATTCTGCTGGGTGGGTACTGATGGAGAGTTTCAGATTAGGACGAAACACCTGTTGAATAATCCTGTATTTCTCTAACCAATGTCAACTGATAATCAAAATTGCGGAAAAGAAAAAGTTTATGGCCTAGGCAGTAAGATCGATTGGGGTCAAGTCCATTCGTTCTCTGGGTACCCATTCCTTTGAGATCGTGTAATTTTGGCCAGAGTGAGGAAGGGAAACAGCTAGTGATTAATGTGTTGTATATAAAAATATATATATTTTATAGTTTGGTTTGTAAGGGTATGTTATGTTTTTACGAGTTGATCACGGATTGATATCAGTTTGAGAAGCATTGAAAACCAGGGAGTACTGGACAGCTGCTGTTTCATCCTAGTTTGGGAATCATCGGGAGTACGCACCCACCGCCACAGTTCGAACCCAGGACCTTCTGGTTACAAGGCAAGCTCGTATACTATTCAGCCACTGGGACCCGATTCAATGGCCAGTCCATGAATTCTAACTTCTACCAATTCGTGATTTAGCGCGACCTCAACCATTATCGTTGGTGGGACATCCATCCACACACGTGACATCTAATTGGACCTCACTGGTCACGACTTCTCACTAGAACTCAGGAAACTCCAACCTGTAGCAAGTCACTAGGATGAAACAGCAACTTTCCAGTGCTCCCTGGTTTTCAATGCTTCTCAAACTGATATCAATCCGTGATCAACTCGTAAATATATATATATATATATATATATAAACAGTTAGTCCCTCTGATAAATTTGAATAAGGCATTTAGAAGACAAATTTTGCGAGATGATACTGTCATTTCGTAGTTTCTTTACAACCGCTTTACAACTAACATGATTAACAATAATAAAATGCAGATCATGACAATTACTCAGTTAGATAAAAAACAAAAGTAGATACTATACTAATGACCAATCATATTTAAATAGGTCATGTAGTCCATGGGAGGCGAAGACTGAAGCCTATTGCCTTCTGTACACACAGTTTAGATTGTATGTGATTAATGCAAAGTGCTTCCATCACCTTCAATAACCTTGGATTAAAGTCATGTGAAATAATTGGGAAACAGTCATTAATATTAATTTTGCGACCTGACATTAATAAGTGTTTTGCAATGGATGATACTGGATTTCCATTCAGATTAATCACAATGGGATTTTCTATATGATTTAGTAGCCATTTTGGAACATGTTCTTTTCGACCACGACATTGGAACATTCTGTCGCTTCTACCTATATAGGTGTCACCGCAAATGCAGGTGAACTTGTAGATACATTTTGAAGCAGAGTCCATAGAATTTCGTCCTTTAACTGTAGGTAAAGGGATCGAAAATGTTCGGCAAATGAGAGAAATAGATGCGGTGGCGTAGAATGTGCGTTTGATGGGTGACCGAATTCTTTGGGCTAGCTGTTAACTACATAATCTGGTCACCATTGAATGGTAGGTTAATAAAGATAGCTTTCTTTGGCACAGAAGCTATCTTTTCGAGATGTGGTCTTTTTAACTGTGACAATTGATTCAGTAAGTTTTCCGGATGACCATTAGCTAATAAAACTGAATGTATATATCGAAACTCATCCATCACACAGTGTATCATTCGTACATATTTTTCGGGCCCTTGAGAACAAACATTTTACTAGTGGGGGACGTTTAAACTGGATAGGAACAAAACTGGCAAAATGAAGATATTGTCCACTCCATGTCTGTTTACGAAAAATATATCGCTGAATCGTTCCATCATCTCTCCTAGTCATGGTAATATCCAGGAAACCGAAGTTTTATTCGATTCGAGTTCAGAAGTCACTCGGATATTCGGATGAATATGATTAAATAGGGTAATAAAGTTTCCAATAGATTTACTATTATGTTACCAATAATGAGAGTATCATCTATATAACGTTTATACAGCATAAATTCTCCAGTATATATATATATATATATATATATATATATATATATATATCCTCATTTTTTAAACGTAATCTACCTAATGTTAATAGATAAATACTCAGTATGCTTATTCTTAGTTGATATACTATATAGATGGATGTCTTCTGCATGAACAATTGCAGTTGAAAGTAGGGCAGACCTCATCTTGTCCATAAAACCTTTTTCTTTATCCCTTCTCCCACTCTCAACACCCTTACTAACTTTTCACATCCTTTCTCTCTCCCTCTCTCTCTGTCTGTCTCTGTTCTCAATGTAGCCTATATTCATCGACTGATGAATTGGGTTCAACTGATGATGATGACCTGAATAATAAATCGGATAGAACAACAAGTCAGCATTATCGTCAGCATCAGTTGAATAGTGGTCGTAAACAACATGAACAACAACAACAACAGCCATATGTAATATGCTTAGCTATTGTTTTTGCCCTATTGGACATTCTTTTATTGATTGGATTAACTCTACTGATATTCTTTTTCAAGTAAGTGAGTTTGAAAATTTATTGGATTTAATAGAGTTGAAAAACGATTATTTATTTATTTTTTGAAATTTATTATGAATTGAAGATTGATGTAAAATTTAAAATAGGTTAGTTCCGTTTTTATGAGGTGGAGAGAGAGAGAGGGAGATTTTAAGCTTAATAGTTTGTTGAGAGGATATCTAAAAACAGTCTATCATCAGATTAGGACATTAGAAAAAATGGAGAACAAGAATGTCCTAGTTGGGTATTTTCCACGATCTCAAAAAGTGCGAGGATCCTTTGACAGTAAACCAACTCCAAATATGTTTGTTTATTAGATGTATCACACAGTGAAGAAACAGTATTATTTACTGGATAACAATGTTGGAGTAGTAGAATTTTCCAGATATCTGCCTGGACAGGTGTTGAATCATTCCTATTACACGTATTCCCTCTCAGTTGATTCGATAAAGAAAGCTACTGTTATCAATCTCTCCCTCCCTAGACCCTGTGACATGAGATTTTAAAACTGTCATCTTATCCCATCCATCCTATTGTATGGCTTTGTGTAACTGCAAGTAGTGAGTGGTAAAGCTGAACTATTCTGTAGATTTCTTATCTTATATGGGTCAGCCAATCTAGATTTCGTTGCTAGGTTTTTGTGCTCGGCTAGTCTGACTGACTGACCCTGTTCTACTAGTTTGACCTATGCATTTGACCTGATCATCATTTTGGCAGGGTAGTAGATAAACTAAATTGTTTTGTTTTAAAGGCTCCACTGACAGGATCATTTAGCCGACAAAGCTTGTTTCTAATTGAGTTTGTGATTTTCAAACCCCACACATTCAAACAGATATTTGGACTTCCGATCATCCCATTTTATGTCAGTGAAAATAGGATTGGCGAAATGTTTAAGTGACAGGGCACAAAAAAAGCTAAGTAGTACTATGGGAAATCTAAGACAAGAAATAATACACATAAAACGAGCCTTGAAACTTAATAGTTACCCGGATAAATTAGTCAGGAAATATGTAAGTAAATGTAGAAATAAAATAAATAATGATAGTAGCGACAGTGATAATAGTAATAATATCAATGACGACATGCATGCAGTAATTCCATACAAGAAAGGGACCTCGGAAATCTTTGATTGGTCCGAATAAGATAAGAAATCTAGAGAATAGTTCAGCTATAGTACTATATCTAATTACACACAACCCTACAATAGGATGGGATAGGACGACAGTTTTAAAATCTAATATTTCACGGTGGAGGAAGTGAGAGATTGATAACAGTAGCTTTCTTTATCGAATCAACTGAGAGGGAATACGTGTAATAGGAATGATTCAACACCTGTCCAGGCAGATATCTGGAAAATTCTACTACACAAACGACGACAAGTAGGAGAAGACAAAGAAAACTATAAAACTCAAGTTTCGAAGTCGTGTGATTATGAACAATAGTTAATTTCGTTCGAGACCTTCTCATCCAGTAAATAATACTGTCACACTCACTGTGTGATACATCTAATAAACAAACTAATATGGAATTACTTACCACTGCCACAGTGCCCAAGTTTTACACATACAGTGAAAGAACTCGACAGGTTTCTATGTTACTCTGTCAAACTTCCCAAAGTAAGTAAATGCAGAAATTGGAATATCGTCAGATTAATCAAATTGAAATTTTATTGCAGAGGTTGTGCATTTTGAACAAAGAAAGAACAAACATTTTGTTTTTGCAGGATAATATGAGCTCATTTTATTTCGCGGAGTCTCTTCAACTGCATACATCTTAAAGAGAATCAAATTATTAGTTACATAATTTTTAAAATTACTTTTTCACAGTGATGTGGAGTTGTGTATAGAAATTATAAGCAGCATAATTGTAAGTAGACGAATTATTCAGTGTCAGAAAGGGGTTAACTATTCACTGTATAATTAGACAAGAGGGGAAAGCAGAGTTCAGATTTGGCTTGGAAACAAGGATGGACTAGAGACAAAATGCATGATAGAACAATAGTGTGAATTTGAAAGAAAGTTTAGGAGGATAGGAGTGAATAGTAAAGTAGAATTTATAAGATGGTCAAAACAATTAAGTAGATTTAGAAATTTAATAATCAGTTCAACTCAGTAAGTGCAAATTATAATCCACGTTAAGCAGAATGTTATGCAAAAGGAAAAACAAACAAAAGCACACGAACAAGACAATTACGCCTATCAGGGCAGTGTGAGATTAGTCATAGCATCTTTCTGTATAAAGAAGTTGGCTTGATGTCTTTTGATGTCAACAGCTTCTGTGAACCGAAGTACCCGGAATTTTCTTTGTGTATTGATTATTTTGCAAACCTGACTAATTTCCACTGCATGTCCCGTGTCGTCATTCAGGTGTCTGCTGGCCATTACACTTGAGAACACTTTGCTGCCTTTCATAGGGGGAGACTTTTAGGGATATACTCAGAAAATATAGCAGACACTGTCTTCCGACTCCTTCCCATGTACTTACTGCAAGTGAATTAGTAAGTGCATCCAAAGTTGACATGAGAAGGACAATTATCATTGTAAAATATATGTTCAGAAATTCTATAACTTATAATTGATTTATTTAAGATGTACACAGTTGAAGAGAATCCACGAAATAAAATGGACTGGTATTATACTGCAAATATGTTCGTGCCTTCTTTATTCTGCCTTCATATTAATTAAATAAACGCCTAACTTACCTTCGGCTGCTATAGGTGTTTTTTGAGTTTTATCTTAACAATTGTGCATCCGACTACGCTTGAACTCCATTTCGTGCCTTCCGTTGGTGCTGGTAAGACGTATATTCTTAGATTCCATAGTTTAGCAATACTCACTAAGCTTTATTGAGTTTAGTAGGATAAGCAAGAACTACAATTTTAGCAGAATAAAGTGGTATCATCAATTATTTCGTTGCCTTCTCATCAACTGCTTACAGGCCACAGTCATTATTAAATATATCTACAACAACAATTTTAACATACTTGCACAGAGTTCATTTTAAACAAAAATCAATCAATTAATATACGCATACACTAATATATATATATGCAATATTAAACATTATTCCGAACAACAATAATAATCATACACAATGGGAACTTTTCAGCATTTCGCATTCGGATGAAAGAGAGATGAAAAATATCCAGTTATCAGGGCAAAGAAAGACTGATAACCGCTTCTTTCTGAACTCATAAATCAGGTTTCAGGCGCTTGATGGAAATGGCTTCAGCGAACTTGAGGAGAATTGAACTCTTTTACGGCTATTGATAATTTTGAACGATTTTTCGACGTCCACTTCATGATCGACCCGTATTGAGGAGATGCCTGGCGATGGCACTCTTTAAAGCATTTGTTCCCCTTAGACATAGGCTTTTTGGTACATGTTCAGAAAATTGTTGATATGCTCTTCTTTCTGTCCTTCCAATGTAACTGCTCCCGCAGATACATGTAAATTTGTATATACAGTTGGAGTTAACATGAGAGAAGGATATCTATCGATTTTTGATTGCGTCAAGAAAGAAGCGGTTATCAGTCTTTCTTTGCCGTGGTAACTGGATATTTTTCATCTCTCTTTCATCCGAATGTGAAATGCTGAAAAGTTTCCACTGTGTATGATTATTATTGTTCGGAATAGTGTTTAATATTACATATATATATATATATATATATATATATATCAACTCGTAAAACATAACTAATCCTTGCAAACCAAACTATAGAAGTTAATCTGATGCTCACTAGTGACTTGCTACAGGTTGGAGTTTCCTGAGTTCTAGTGAGAAGTCGTGACCAGTGAGGTCCAATTAGATGTCACGTGTGTGGATGGATGTCCCACCAACGATAATGGTTGAGGTCGCGCTAAATCACGAATTGGTAGAAGTTAGAATTCATGGACTGGCCATTGAATCGGGTCCCAGTGGCTGAATAGTATACGAGCTTGCCTTGTAACCGGAAGGTCCTGGGTTCGAACTGTGGCGGTGGGTGCGTATTCCCGATGATTCCCAAACTAGGATGAAACAGCAGCTGTCCAGTACTCCCTGGCTTTCAATGCTTCTCAAACTGATATCAATCCGTGATCAACTCGTAAAATATATATGTATATTATTAGTGTATGCGTATATTGATCGATTGATTTTTGTTTAAAATGAACTCTGTGCAAGTATGTTAAAAGTGTTTTTGTAGATATACTTAATAATGACTGTGGCCTGTAAGCAGTTGATGAGAAGGCAACGAAATAATTGATGATACCACTTTATTCTGCTAAAACTGTAGTTCTTGCTTTGTTCAAATTTAGTAAGGGAAATAATTGTATGAAACCGCAAATATCTCTTCTCAGATAAACTCATTCAAAAGTGAAGTACATGACTATATGTCGAAGAATTCACTATCGTCTTTACTAACCAGGCCCATACAAAGTCAGGTTGTATGATTGATAATATCTGCAGGAAGTGCAAGTGAATTGGTAAATGCAGTTGGATTTGACGTAAGCAGGATATTTATCTGTTTTTGTTGTAAAGTGGAACCAATTTGAAGGCGAGAAATGTTCTTTTCAATACACCCTGAATTCTTCTTTTGCTTGTTATCAACACTTCTTCCCCTTTGTACGCTAGACAGATAAAGACTTTTTTAAACTGTTTCAGGTTTCGGTCTAGATGTTCAGGGTATCCATTCTCAATAAGATTCTTTTCAATAACTGCGAGTCCTCCTTCAATCTTACCATTTGAACATGATGCCCTAGCTCTGCTAGAGAGCGTTTTTACCAAGCTCCATTTGTAGTTGACTGCACAAAAGCTTTAATAACTTAAGCACTGACCAGTCCAAGTTTCTTTTCTATCGATGGGTTTTTCAATCGTCGTGTCATTTCTTCTCTGTATGTTGAGATTTAGAGTGTGGAAATGGTTTTCATGTTCATGATTCGTCGTAAATGCACCATAGGGATGAGCCACATGCATGGTTCATACTTCTTCAAAACATAAACGTGTCGTCAACATACTTGTG